ATTTCCAACCCTCTTGGTAATCGTTATTCATGATCTTAAATATTTGTAACCTCCAAGGTAACATTATTAACTTACTTTATTTTCTTCCAAATAGAATCTCATTTCTGAGCTTACATCAATGACTTACGATGTACTCTCACGTATGAAAATTTGGGGTGTAACATAATGTCATTTTCTATTTATAGGAAGTTGGAGAAGGATATTAGAGAGATAAGGTCGGTACCAATATCTTTGCAGTTGGCTGACCAAACTACTATAACACCCGAGGGAATAGTTGAAGATGTTTTTGGTCGGATAGCTAAGTTTGTATTTCCTATAGATTTCATAGTGGTGACTATGGAGGAAAACAAGGAGGTCCCCTTCATTCTAGGAAGATCATTTTTAACAATGGGTAGAGCTATCTTGGATATACAGGATAGGAAACTCATGCTTAGAGTGGGTAAGGAGCCTTTGACTTTTGAGATGAATGTAGCAACTGGGGTGAAAAAGGAGAAACCAGCTGCAAGTATTGAGTGGAAGGTGAAGAGTTCGAAAGAAATACCTGCAGTGATAGAAAAAACAAGTGTGTTGTGTACACCAACAAGGTTGAGAAGAAGTTGTCTGCATGGATGTGCGCAATAGTTCGGGCAGGTAGAATGGAGCCCGACTTCGATTCAGACACCGACTAGAGATTCAGGAAAGTTTTATTTGCCTTATGCTTTTTAATTGTGTTTCATGGGGACATACTGCAACTTAAAATGTGGGGTGGGTATAATTGTATGTCATATGTATATGTATTAGTTTTTTTATTTTTAGTAGTTAGAAAAAATTTGAAAATAACATAAAAATTTTAAAATTTTTAACTTTTCCCGACGATGGATATCATTTGATGGGTTTCTTGAAGGATTAATGTCGAATGAAAAAGATACAAAAGATAAGAAAGATTTTCTTTTGTTAGGTAGTGTAACAATCCCCCCTTGGTTTTTCTTTGGGTTGCGGTTGTTTTTCAAGGGTTTTGTTTGAACCGTGTGTAGTTAGTTTTTATTTTTGTTAGGTGTAGAAAACCTTGTGCTATGATTTGCATTGAATGTAATATATCTTGACTTTATCATGCCTTGAGAATAGTGAGTGTTTTAGTTGTGACGTTTAGGCTCAGATTTTTTACTCTCGTATAAATACCTAAAATTGTATTATCTTAACTTTACTTAACTGTTTTGACTAGTGTGCCTTGATTGTCCGATCCTGAGTGAGTTATGTGTCATGTGGGTGTGAGGTTTTGTATTATTCTGTGCATTGAATTTCATGTCTAGAACTTATCCCGTTTGTTTGCAAAGTAAAATGGTAGTTTTATTCAGTCTTGGAAGTGATATAAGCGTTTCTTTGCTGAGCCAGTTATATGCTATTTGTACGCGGCAAAATCAAAAGACTTGATTTTTTGCTATCAAGACACATCAAAAGCTTTTTTCGAGACCCGGGGGGTGGGAGGCCACGACCAAGTGCTTAGCCTCGGGGTTCGATGGAGCCCGACTCGAAGAAAGCAAGGTCCGAGGTTGGATGATAGAATAAGTCTCCTAAGCACGTGGCTACACCTAACAGATCCAGTCTATCTAGAACCAAAATTGTAATATTATGTCAATCCATCCCATCGCCGTATTTTGTACTTAATTACACACATGTACTATAGCGAGTCCCCTCGCCAACATAAGAGGGACTCACCCTACTTTGTAAGGGACAAATGTTGCTCCATTCTCTCCACAAATGAAATAATACCTCTCTCTCCCTCTTCTCTTTTCTACTAAGTTATTCGTTGTTGTAAGCCCGAGGCCACCTCGCGTTCATTGATTTCTTGCTTATTTTTCACCGTATAACTCAATTTCGACTATAGAAAGCCTTAGATAATTATATCTTGCTTGTTATGCCTCCCCCGATTGTCCCCGGCAGTTCAATATCGACTTAAACCTCGCCCCCGAGGCCTTCATTAGACCACTTCGTGCCTGGGAAGCAGACTCCCTTGGTTTGTTTATTACCCCGTTTCACCTCGCATCCCATCAATCCGCTCCATGCTCGGCAGAGGGCCCCTTCGGTTTGCTTACTACGTCTTCTTAGCTCGCCTCTTATCTTTACACTGAGTATTTTTTAGCATTAACTACTCTAAACACCAGCTCGAGAATAGATCACGCATTTTTAGAATAACATTTACAAATTTAATTATTATTACCATTTTCATAGTAAACAGTTTGGATCCCACTGTGGGGCTAAAAATAATAGTGATTATTTTCTTGTTGGTTTCATCATACAAACATACGATATCCTTCACACTTTTCTTGTCCAAGATCTCTTGATTACAGGTTAACATCTGGCTCGGTAAGTGAAATCGAGAATGGCTACCCCGAGAACTATGGTAGGAGCAGTATGGCTATTCCAAAGGTTGATACGACGCCACAAGACTATGATAATGCATGTGGTCCGATTCAAGCGGACTCAGGCTCGCGAGGCACACAACAAGTCGACTAAACCTCGCGCGCTGGTGATAGCATGTGGCTCTCTAACAAACAGAAAGCTCAAGAAAAGCTCTGGACCGGTTAAAACGGGAAGGTAATATTAATGTCATCTTTGGAATGTTGCAGGCACGACGATTGGCTATCGTACAACTACAAGATCGCCTAGAGACCTCCGATGCGGAAGAAACGAGGGCACCTTCTCATAATGAACCGGTATCCAAGAAGTCAAGTAGTAGCAAGTCGGTAACCGACTCCGGCACAGCAAAGGTGCTAGGAAATCTCCTTAGAAAGATTGAATCAGACGGCGACCCCCGAAATGATGTGTTCGAGCCCGTCCTTTCGAGGAATCCCGAAGAAACTCTCCCAAAAGAAACCATGAACATAGCGCCACCGCCTGGCACCTGGCCCCAAAATCTCACTCACCATGCCAACATGGTCTTCCGCGAAAGCATGCGCCCACATCATCGAAACAATACTAAGAGGGCCCGGCACTCCCGAGGCCGATCAAGGAAGAAATGAAATATCGCAATAAACCACACCCGATATCAGCCACAATCAGAACCATCTGGAAACCTCCTTAGGCTCGGCACATCCAAACAAACTCTCAACAAAGAAGATGATGCAAAGCAAAGAGAAAGATAACCCAGGGACGGCATCCCCAAGGAACATCTCACATGACCAGATCCAACATATTGCGCATGGTAAAGGAATCTCACCCAACTTGGCTCAATTTTGACCTAACTGCGCCAAACATCGTGATCGCCGTAAGCGAGTCTGGAAACACCGGGCGGATCAGACCTATTCAACCAAGACTCCCCCTTGGAAACTGCAGCCCGGCACAAGAACCGCAGGGTGCACAGGATTGCCAGCTCGAAAGAGCAACGACTGTACTGGTTCAGTAAAGTTCGCCACCAAGTATCATTGAGCGTTCGGGAGTGAGGGGAGCAAGAAAAATAAAGTTGACATGCCATTGTGTGTTGTCACGATGGTAAAAAGGAGACAACACACTTCAAATATCCGTAGAACAGAAAGAGAAAGCATTTGTCGCCGGAAAAGGACGGATCCGAGGAGTGTGCCCAGAGGAAACCCTTCAAACCAGGAAAAAGGATGCCGGGATTTTGCCTCGACCTCATGCCCATGCACTGGTAACTCCCTCCCTCATTTAGCCCTTTTCAAACAAAGAATATGTTCATAAGTGCAGGCGTTTCGACTAATTATACCAACGGTGTCAGGCAAAAGCCAAATATGGCATTTCGGACCAGCGAACCAAATCGTTCCCCCACTTTGAACCTTTGATGGATCCCAGACGTAGACTGCCATAGCAATCGAGAAAGAAGTCTCCCTCTATGTATCTCGCCCGGGATCGAACTAGGATGTTGAACCCGCGAAGTATAGGCGTTTTATTCAAATAGCAGCGGGTGCATTACCCAGAAGCGATCACAACCCCCTTTCGCCAAGCAGGTGAGATTACCCGATAAAGGTAGATTCAAAGCATCGAGCCTTGAAAAGCATTACCTACACGCCTCGCTACAAGGGATGACATCTTTGTTTTATTACTGTCCTTTTTTCCTTTTTTCACTAACCTGCCTGCAGGCAGCCAACCGAGGCATTCAGAAATCTTAAACTCCACGAGGAAATCCAAGATCTCTACGAGATCAGTTGAACGCTCTATCCTCGAATGGACCGCCAACCAATAAGGAGGTCCCACTAGTAAGGCTATTAGTAGAACAAGCATGTCCTCCAAAAGGGGACCCGACGAGATCACCGGCCTTCCATCTATAATCTTCAACGAACGGCGGGTTTTTTCTTAAAGGGCACCGCCCCCTCGGGAGGGCCAACAAATGGCAGGCTAGGCTTCGGGATAGAACCCTACAAGCATGTCTGACGATCGGAGGAGCCGGGCATGTATAGGCAGAATTCATAACAACGGAGCAACGAGCACTTGCAGCCTATATATACGCCAAGCAGTTAAGACTACATATATTCTCGGCATTCCATCACAACCTATATCTACTCCAAGTAATGAAGAATATATTTGTTATTTCGACATATTCATGGCTAATATTTCTCCATTAAATAAGGTCTCAAAATACTCGGAGACTTAAACGGTTCCAATGCCCCCACGGCCCCAAGGTCGAGATTCCAGGCTCACGAAGCCCTCACAACACAACTCCAAGTTTATAAAAGGTGGGATTCAAGCCTAAACCGATCTGATATATTCGGAGACTTAATATAAGCAATACGACAACTTGCACGACCCTAAGGTCGGAACTTCAGGTCTATAAAGCCCTCGCAATGCAAACTCCAAAGTTCGTGAGAAACGGTATTCAAAGCTTAAACAAGACCGATGAGTCGGAAACTATCGCCAATCGCCATGCACTGGAAAAATTCAAAGCTGTAAGACCCTAACGGGCAGCCTCGGCATAATCAGATATGTTCTACAAAACTGTAAGACCTCAACACGCATGACAAACTGTAAGACCTCAACAGGTATGACAAAACTGTAAGACCTCAACAGGCATGAAAATCCCGATATTTGGGATATACGTCGCATTTGTAAGAATAACAAAGGGCATACACTCGACGTAGATGCCTAAACTATCACTAAGGGATCAAAATGGCTCCGGCCAAACGCATACTACTACAGTTGAAACGGCTGATATAGCCCAAATAATGTGACTCGGTGATGCACGGCTGTTATTAAAATATCACAGACCATTACTTCGATATACTATGGAAAGAATCTGTTAAAACATGCTTCCCTCCACAGGCAAAAATGAGCTCCGACAATGTCGGCTGCAAAAATGCAAAAGCGCCAATCTGTGCAAACATGAGCTATGAACCTTACGAGGTGCTTGAATCATCGCCGACAACGACTTGAAATCGAGGTTCCTCTAGAACCGATGACGGGTCAGGAAAAATACTACAAAAAGACCTTAGTGAGCGAATACAAAGCCTATACAAACCCCACGGGCAAAAAACAGTGTAAGAGCCATTATCGCCTACTAAGAAAGCCTCCAGGCCGCATACTTAAAGGTCTCTATGAACGGACAGCGTAAGAGCCATTGTCGCCATCTAACAAATCTTGACAACTTGAGGATTAAAATGAGCTCGAATTGCAACCCGATTCGGAGACCAGATCCAAAATAGTTAACTAAACAAGCCTGCGGCTTGCAAATTAAAAGGTCTTAAAGACCAAATGGCATAAGAGCCATCGTTGCCAAAAAATTCAAATAAAATATTGAGGGTCGATCGCAGCTCAAATCGCAATGCGATTTGATGACTGGGCTCGAGGATCGCAATACACCTACGGGCGCGGCATAAATGCTACTGTAGCCAAGGTCTCAACAATATTTATGGGTCAATTACAGCTCGGATCACAACGCGGCCCGGAGACTATGCCCAAAAACAGCCAAAAGCCCAAGGGTGGGAAATGAGAAAACATTATTGCCAACCAGAAGTTTACGGTAATTCGAGGGTTGATCACAGCTCGGATCGCAACGTAATCTGGAGACTAAACCCGAGAAATGCGACATGCCTAAGGGCACAGCGCAAACTTCGTTATCGCCACCCAGATACTCAACGAAATATATTGGTCGATTACAACTCGAATCACAACACGATTCGGAGATTGGACCCGAAAGATTGCAAATGCGACTACAAGTGTGGCGTGCAAGAGTGCAGCATGCAAGCCATTATCACCCGCCGGAAAACCAGGGAAACATAAAAGGGTCGATTACAACCCGGATCGCAACGCGACCCGAGGACTGGACCCAAGGACTACAATAAGCCTAAGGGCATTATGTGTATGTCGCCATCACCAACTGAGTAAACCTTCCTAACCAAGAGCCCGTAAGGTCATCTCGACCCAGAAGACACAAAAAACAGTATCATTCGCCTACGTAGGCGAGGAAAAACATAAGGGTTAACCGGAGTCTGAGCCACAATGTGACCTAGAGACTGCACCCAGAGAAATCAAAACAACAAATGCCCGAGGGCACAAGGTAAATACGATCACTGCCCACAAGTGCAAACACAAAAAATGCAAAGACAAGAAGGCTCGAGTCGGAGTCCGACCCAGAAGCTAAGCCTAAGTGGCCAGGCCGAGCTTGAAGGTCCAGCGCCTGCTCGCATCAAGAATTACACTTAGCAGTTCCCGGGACCGTTCAACCAGTTCCAGATCAAGAAAGACCTCGCCAAACGCCAAGGCTAGCCTGCCTGACCAACAGTGACAGCAGGAAAAAGTTATTGAAAAAATAAAGCTCTAAAATTTCGCCTTATATATCATGCGCGCCAGAAAAAGCGTATTCTCCATCTATTGGCATGTCCTACATATATTTAGAACAAAGCTAAAAAATGACAAAACCTACACTCCAAAGAGCTACAACTTGCCAAAATCGCCCTCAGCAACATCAACGAGAAGTGACAGAGCATTGCACTCATCCGCCCGCGCTTGAGCCAATTCCTCCAAGAGAACGAAGCCCCTTGCGGCAATTTCCTCGAGCACCTCTCTACAGGATTTGCAGCGAACATACTCCTCGATCCTCCGCTCCCAGTCAAGGGCCCGCACCATCTCAGCTTGGGCATCAGCGACATCCTTCACATGAATCGTCATCTCGCGAACGGCCATGGTTCGACCTAGCGCCGCCTTCTTCCGGGAGTCAATTATCTCGGCCCTGACCTTCGAGAGGTCAGATTCAAGTTTCCCAATCATGTCCGATTGAACTTTGGCATTATCATGAGTCAAGCGCAGCTGGACCTAGAGAGGGGGACCCTAACTAAAGCACTCATCTCCTCCAAAGCTCGAGCTTGAGCTTGAGCCCTCAACTCCCCGCAAGCAATTATGGCATAGTTGATATCGCCTTTGATGTACTCTAGAGCCTCCGACTTCTTGTACAACTGATATGGCAAAGGGAAGTCAACCTCAAGATCAAAAAAGAGTAAAGTGCGCGCCATAGAAAATTACCTATTCCAACAGATAGCTCTGATAATCTGAGCTTCAGTGCGCCTCTTGTAGCCAATGCTGCAACTCTACTTCCCTCTCCTCATTAAGGAGCCTAAGGGACTCACACTCTGAACCTTAGCTCCTTTGTGGAGCAGCTCGGCCTTAAGCCTATCGCAGGCCTACATAAGGGAAGTTAATAGATGGGGAAAAGCACGAAATGCAGAGAAGCTATACATGAACTCACAACAAAGTGATGTCGGCGGACTACTCCAAAGTCAAAGCACACTCCTGACAATCTTTCTCCTACGGCCCCAAAAGAATCAACTTCGGCCACGGCATGCTCGCTCAAAGAAATCTCCGGCCAGGAATTGGGTACCCTGGGGGCAATAGACTCGGGTAGCGCCCTTTCCCCAGAAAAGCGAACCTGACTAGCGCCACTGGAAGTTCCATCACGTAGTAAGTTTCGATCCCTCTCCTCTCCGTGATCCCCCAGACCAGAGACCCTTGGCACCTCACCCTTTTCAGAATCACTTTGCCTCATCCCAAAGAACCTCCTGATATCTACAAACGGCGA